ACATATAACCTCATCTCAATTTCTCTCAACTTTTTGAGACATCCCATCATTATTGGCCATCTTTGGTCCACAAAAAGAATAAAACGCATTTCTCATTCAACTTAAATATCATGAGAATTAACACAGTAGCGTGGCCAGAACAATAATTGGGGGGCGCATATTCATATATTCGTGATACGCAGGATTAATTTTTTTTCAAGTCAATTGTCTTTACAGTCTGTTAACATGAATATATGAATATGGGCCCCCCAATTATCGATGCTGGCTACGCCACTGAATTAACAAGATATCTACAGGAGGCATTACTATCATAAAATATGCAAGTTCAGAACAACATATCCAATCTCTAACTCACAAGACATCATTTAGTGTAAATTATCCTAATGTAAGAAAAATTATCGACTGGACTCAGACTTTTGATCACTGCTGTATTTGGTTGATTAAATAAAATTGAAAAACAAAAATAATTTTCAACAGTAGGAAAAAAAAGGGAAATAGGCCATGACACAAGAATGAGTCCCCAGGTCCTACCCTACCCTGAGTTTCAGCCCAGCAAACTGGGGCCAAAGTACTTTTTAATTACATGGCAAGTTTCAGCCCGGGCTGTGTTATGACACGTCAGAATTATTTTAAGACCAGGGCTGAAATTTCAGGGTTGAGTTTGTAAAGGCTGGGAGTAGACCTATTTCGATTCTTTGAGCGATTTAAAATCCCGAATGACAATAACTTGACCTTTAAGGGGCTATGACTGCACATAAAAATTAAATATACAAACCAAAACGCATTGTCCGGGTTTAAGTTTATTTATGATTATATGACAACAACACTAAGTTTCAACCTGGGCTGAAATTCTTGTCATGTAATCACGTATGCAATTTTGTTGGGATTTTATAACAACCCCGGGCTGAAGTTTCACAGTTAGCCAGGCTGAAACTCAGCCTGAGCTGGAATTCCTGGAAACACTCCATGTAATTGGCCCTTTAGTTTATAAATAGGGAAATGGTTCTATTTTGAAGATAAAATTGTGATGCAAGCAAAACCTGAATGTTGTTTGTCAATTAACCATACCAGTGACAGTGTCCATAGGTGAGCTAATCAATGGTGTCTTTAATGTTATTTTTCTTGTAAGTGAAGATGTTAAGTCCTAGAAAAATTGCAAGTGAATGAATAATAATTAATTGGTAAAAAGAGTTCTTATAAACGAGTAAAAAACATAATTTAATTTTATGTTGGTACTAAAAATTCTTCAAACTGGATGTATAAACTCATACAAAAATCTAAAGTTTTTCAGCATCTTTCAACTAGCAAAACACATGATTGCAAATTGCATGCATTGAGCTTGACTTAAAATGCCTTAAAACAGAAAACTATGAAGAAGCAAACTATGTACATATTCACTTATTACACAGAACTCACTAACAGACGTATCTAAATTGCATCACATGATATAAGTCAAAGATATCACTAATATTAGTCATGTCAGCTGGCCATGGCAAGTCTGTTTTAGAAAAAAGCAATTTCCACATTTCATTTCATATTCACTTCTTGCACTGTTGAAGGCTCAGGTTTATATACCCAAAGCTTTGTGTATTGCAAAAAATATAAGTGTAATTAACCTTCAAACTAATATTTATGCACCCATGGTTTGCAATGTACCTACCACTTTATCTGGAGTAAAGTCAATGTAACCAGGTAAGATGATGAAATCACTGCAAGAAGAAATATATATTATTAGACTTAGGACTATTATCATCAATTATCCATTTCTTGCATATTTAGTTATTAATATATTACAACCATAGCAACAAGCTATAAGCCATTAACAGCGCAGTGTAACCCTTGGAGGGATGGGGTTTCTTGCAACAAAATGGTAGAATATACTTGATGTGGTAGAAAAAATGAATGCTAACTGCTAAGGGATTTTTTAGCACTAGAATAATTATTGATTCAGCTTTATATATATACTTCACATATAATAGCAATAGAATAACCAGCTGGTAAGATACTTTTTCTGCTTATTCTTTTGCTCAAAAAATTGTCTGGCTCTCCTTCCTTTGCAATTATCGACGGGTGCATTGTGAGACGTTGTAGCATTAAATAAATTGAAAGAGAGATCGTATTTGCATAGAGGGATTACATTTGCAGAGAGCTATATATTTTGAAAGGATTTGTCAGTTACTATATCAGATATTTATGTGCGATGACACATTGGTTGATGGTTGTATTTTTCGAGCTGTTTTCATTTTTACTAAGCTTAATTGAATACGTATGTACATTTATCACATCCTAGTCGCCCTATACAGTAGAGTGACGGGTCCATGATCCGTCCATCATCTGCCATTGTTCATATTTCCAAAAGGCAGCAAACATTCATTTTGGTAAATTCGTTATTGTGGCATTCGTACCCTTGTAAATTCGTTATTGAGGCATTCGTTCCCTTATAATATGACAAGTAATTTGTTGCCCCAAATAAGATTAGGATTGCACAATAGTAATCCACGATCTGTAAACTTCAAGAGTGGAGAATGCCGAGGAGAATACGAAACCTCTCTACTTTAAGAGGGGAAAAGTCACATTCGCTTTGATCTGCGCAATATCATTATAAGTCTCAAACCCCGTCCACAGCAGGAAATATAGCTCAGAAAGCCAGTTTCATAGACATAGTCCTAATTGTGCTCTGATGTTCAAAATGCATTTTCCGGTCGTATTATATGTCATATTTCCCAATTAAAATGAAAATCGCACATACTTATATGTAATGCCGTGCCCTGATTCTAGCAGTTGCTTCGCCGAAAGGCCATCTTCATGTTCGCTCATCTCTGGAACGGTATGTGCCATGTTATACAAGTGTATCGACACCAAATTTCAGCGTCGTTCTGTCTTCCTCGCACCTATATAGTTTATGCTTTGTACTGCTGTAGCCTGTAGTGCTGTTGATCAATTGATATGAATAAATATATATAAAAGGCCATGTGTTATTGCGTACCGCTTGGTCATTTCCGGTTTTTTTGTTTCCGCTCGGTTCATATGGTTCATCTTTCAGACTACCACGGTCAGGGAGCTGCGTTGCAGAATGCAGAGTCTCCAAACAACTTCGAATCAAATGTTGTATACCAACTGTCATTTGACGCAAAATTCATCCTCACAGAACTTTTTACCTATTTGATTTAATTAAACGTAAAAGCTATAAAAGCAGACAAACTTAACAATAATCCATTGAATGTAGGGCTAACTTAGATATTCCGCGACAACCGCCTTGCGATGTCTAATTCCTTGCGAGTTAATTCGAATCCCAAGGGAGTGAAGGGACATCAAATGAAACATTCTTTGAAACATTCCACTAAATGCAACTTGAATTATGACTTTATTTTATTCCTAAGAACAATTCTTTGATTTCTTTCGTGTAATTCTTATTCTTAAAAGTAAGTTTGCAATGGTAAAACCTACAGTTAAGCGGTTAAAAACTTTCCAAGGGAGTGGCAAGTATTTTCGAATTAATTTAATAGCCAATTTTTGTCGCTATTTTCATCAATTTTGAAAGTAACTGGAGACATCAAATGCTTGTACTAGTATCTCCGGCAACATCGTCATCAGTTATTTAGTGTTATATATGAAATCAATCAGCTCGATAGCTTTTATAGTTTTTGAGTTATATCAAAACAAACAGGTAAAGTTTTTTTGGGATACCCGGTATACAGGGCCTATATTATATTATTATACACTTGATTGACTTCATATAATCGGTTTTGAAGACTATATATATATATATATATATATATATATATATATATATATATATATATATATATATATATATATATATATATATATATTTATTATATGACTAGTGTTTGTTTTTGTAAATCCTGCAATTTGATTGGCTGCTGACGAGGCGGAATTTTCCCATGTTGCCCACGGGCAATACGCTCAATTTTTATTGCCCTCGGGAAAAACAACAGCAATTCGAAATGAATTATTATTCGTGTTTATGGTTTTCCCAAATTAAGTCATATAATAAATAACTTACTGACTTCGATTGTTCGGTCTGTACGGTAAAATATCAAACCGAGGTCGTGCCGTATTGACCTCGCTATCGCTCGGTCAATACGGCACGACCTCGGTTTGATATTTTACCGTACAGACCTCACTCTCAGTCAGTAAGTTCTTAATATACACCCATTTGCAAAAACGTTGGCCGCAGATAGATATATAGATAGATACTCGAAATCTAATTAGAATTGCATATGTTGAGTAATATGATTGAAATCCCATGCAAATGTAATCATATGCAATTCTAATTAGACTTCGAGTATCTATCTATCTATCTATCTATCTGCGGCCAACGTTTTTGCAAATGGGTGTATATATATATATATATATATATATATATATATATATATATATATATATATATATATATATATATATATATATATATATATATTATATATATATATATATATACATATATATATATATATATATTTATATATATATATATATATATATATATATATATATATATATATATATATATATATATATATATATATTATATATATATGTGCATGCATGTATTTGCACGCATTCACGTTCTATACTGTGCACATGCAGTGACCATCAATAATGCATGCACAAAGCGTCACCTTAAAATATTCCCCTATCGTGGTCACCCTTATCCGTAGGGCAAGTTTCTCAGTCCAATGTGAGTGGTCTTCACCTGTGAGAAGAATGGAGCGGAAACAAGAATGATCGGACAATAGCCCAGACAATAAATAATCTACAACAAAAATATTTCATTGAAAACACCTGATATAGAACAAAGTCTCATAAGCTTGTCTTATAAACTGCATAATTTGCCTATAAACCCAAGAACTAAAACTTCTTTAGTTGTTTTTTTGGGGGGAAACCATACGCGAGGAGGGATAATATCCGCGTCGCTGCCCAATCCGTGTCCGGAGAGACCGGGAAGACACTTTCTGGGGGGGGACAATAGGGACCTTACGTTCGGTCGACGTTGTCGTAGTGCCAGCGTAAGGTCTTTAATATCCGCTAGGACACCGGAACTTGAAAGTACATGGCTTAGTCTTGTCATTTATGGTCAAGAAGGCAATGTATCTCGATTGGGTTTCGTCTGGCTGCCGAAATGCGACATCGCCATCGGAATTATCGACGATTACAGCTTCATTCTCGTTCGTACTTCTTATCATCACAGTTCCAACCAATCTATTTGTCTGTTTATCCATAATCATCGATCCAAATAAAGAACTTCGCACACAATTTAACTGCTTTACCTTCAACCTTGCTCTGGCAGACTTACTCGTTGGCTGTTTAACGGAGAGTCTAGCTGTATTTATCCACATCAAACAAAGCATCGATACGGAATTCGGTCATAGAGACTATCCAATGATCCAAAAGCTGCTACATATTCCATATTTTATCGCATCTTGTGCTTCCGTTTTGAGCATTTCAGCGTTAGCATTCGAAAGATGGCTTGCGTTGACATCGCCATTCAAATATCGTGTGTATTTTAGTGTCAAGCTCTGTGTCTTGATTTCCGTTATTATTTGGATAATAGCCCTTAGCTACGGTGCAATGAATATCTGGTTGGATTATATACTGGAGAATTTCATACTTGTGAACACAGCTTTGTTGTTTACAGGCACCGTGGTCAGTTTTGCCTGTTTAAGGATTCGCTGTACACTATTACAGGTAATTCGTACAAGAGTAGTATGTTGTGCTTTTAACCATAAGACCATATTACCATATAGAGATATGTATTCTATTTGCTCGCGGTCCCCCAGTGCGAATCATTTGAAATATCCGTTAATTTTCCAAGTTCTTACCTGGGTTATACGATATTTAAGCGTTGCATTTACAACGGAAGTGACTAAACTTTATCTTTGTTATCTAAATTAATTAAGAATTTCTTTCACTTTGTAGAGCATCCGGTCGTTTTGTTTTTTATTTGTTAGATGATAAATTCAGTGGTGTCGATTAATTTTATTTCGTGATGATTTATTCGCTCAACAATTGTACTTATATTATATTATATATATATATATATATATATATATATATATATATATATATATATATATATATATATATATATATATATATATATATACACCCATTTGCAAAAACGTTGGCAGCAGATAGATAGATAGATAGATACTCGAAGTCTAATTAGAATTGCATATGATTACATTTGCATGGGATTTCAATATCATCTATCTATCTGCGGCCAACGTGTGTAAAACAATGTGCCCTCCCGGCTATCACCAGAGCGCAATGGTGACTCCTGCACTTGGGACACAGGACGTACGGTTACACATTGTTGGAATTGTATAGTGAAGTCACCAGAGTGCTCAAACTTATACAAGTGAGCTTTGCATAATATATATATATATATATATATATATATATATATATATATATATATATATATATATATATATATATATATATATATATATATATATATATATGATAACAAGAAAACACGCAAGAAGCTAGGACAGTTTAGGACTGCTCTTCTGGTTATAACAACGTGAGGTCATAAAAAACACTAGTACATTTATCTAAAAGCATAGCGAACCTAAATGTTGTTAGATACAGCACATCGTAATTCAACGAAGTACGAATTTCATCGTATTCAAATTCCTGGAGGACGTGAACGTCATTTTTCGGTCGGTCTTCACTCTGGATTATGGTAGCTAAACGAATGTTATATATTATAGGTTTTCACTGCATGCTTATATACTATAATGCCGTAATAGTGTTCTCGTTTTCAGGTCTCAAAGAACTTGGAATTAGAAGGTTTGCGCTCGTCTCAAAGAAACGACGCATACATTCAAAATCAATTAACAAAGACATTCGTGCTGATGATTGGCGCCTTGATGTGTTGTTACATCCCTGCATGTACTGCAGTGTATTACATGAACCTATGCAGTCCCTGCAACTGTGACGTGATCGAGTGGCTACGCGATCTTGTATTTTGGCTAATACTGCTAAATTCGGCAATGGATCCTTTCATATATGCCCTTCGCACCAGACCATTTCGTGATGCAGTGCGAAAAATCTTATCGTGTAAATGTGGACAGAGGAGAAGCGAAAGACAGCAAAGATTTACTGCCACTTTTCAGAACAGGAAGGGTTATGGAAAGCTAGCTAAACTTGTTCCTAACCAGAAAACATATGGCTCAACAAGTACAGCGAGTACTGACATCTCGCAATAATTACATTTAAGCATGGTTCACACTTGTCCTTGGTGCGCAAAATGCTTTGTCTATCGGAAAGTAATACAATGGATCCCCGATTCTTAGGAGCTAGTGCATGTGAACCAGGTCTAATGGAGTGTCTAAATTCAGTAGGCATTTAACTATTAAAACTGCATCACAATTGTTCGCAGATGGCTGAACACGAGGTCGAAACCGAGACGAAATCGAGGTTTTTATTTAGTGACATTTTACCGAGCCTTGCGAGGCGATTGTTTTACAAAAAAAATTAAAATAAATGTTTTACAAAACGTGAACCCGATATTTACAAAACGATATTTTATGCAAAATAAAATACGTTCTATGGTGTCTAATTTTATTTTGCATAAAAAGCTACGGTTTTTTTTGTTATTTTGCGTTATTTTGCATAAAATACTACGTCCAACGTAGTTTCTATTTCGAAATAATTTTAGGCCATTTCTTTCGCTTGTTTCGTGGTTTTAGCTTGAGCATTTTCTCTAGAATTACTGATTTCTGTATGCATTTGTCACTTTGACAAAAACAACTCGTCGCCATTTTGAAAATTCCGCTTTGGCCAAAGATTATATGTAACATACTGAAAATTTTGATCGAACGCAACATTCTGATTAAACGCCTAATTACAAGTATGAAAATTCATGCGTGCATTAATTATTGGTGCAAAATTAATAGAGGAGGAATCAGTCTGTACAAAATGATCTCAATCGAAGGGCGTAGTCTGAGACAGGTAGTTTTATTAATATAATTATATATAATTATAGAGGACGCTTTATTTAATTAAGGGCAACATATTATAAAGCCAATTCATGTTGTTACTTCAGCAGCAGCTTGTGTCTTACTTTAGTCGCGTAAAGGTCAGTCACACCAAATAGGACGGTTATTTTAAGATTGAGATCGCCAAGAAGAAGCTGAATTCCTGCGTAACCCAGGAGTATACATCAGGTAAGTGGACGCAGTGGCGGATCTTCGATTGGGAAGAATTTTTACAACCGCTCTAAAGTATACCGTGTGCATTCATTGGTGTAGATCTTTATTGTAAAAACAGTTTGGGATGTTTAAGATTACGCATACATCACTTATATAGAAGAAATTTCCACAGTTCTAACTTGCAACGCTTGCTATTCCCATTTTAAAACTTCTATTTGAAATGTCATAGATAAATAAGCTAATATATACTATAATTTATCTTGCCTTATGGACCCGTCACTAATTTAGACGTAAAATTAATGTTTTCCGCTCTGCTTAATTGTTCATAATATAGTTAAATACATAATATCACAGTTTAGAAAGATGGAAAGTTACAAAAAAACAAAAAAGGCCTTCCTCTTCCTAACTAAATTGATATTACAGAACAAAAGTGTAATTTTTTTTCTCATTCTTGATATGAATTGACAGGAAATTGTTATGAGATCGATATGCCATTATCTTTTATAACATGGAAACTTGAATTCATTACTATACGATCACATGCAGTTTCAAAAGTCAGACAGGAAGACGAACAACTCAGTTACCGGTACCCAACATTCCGCTTCCCCCTCAATTTTAGAAAGACATAATTACAAATGATAAATGCTGTTGGAAATTAAATAGAGTGACGGAGAGTGAAGCAACCAGTTCGTTATAAATACAGCTTAAAGCTGTTTTCGACTTTTTCGCTCTAAATTCCGATTACTTTTGAAACGTAGTTTTCACAAAATAAAATATGAAGCAAATCGATAGACAATTAAAGGGGATACAGACATTTCAGATACGGATGGGCGATGAAAGAGGAAGGATATATAATCGATAATCTCCCAAGTGTTTTATACCAGTAGGTGTATGTCTTTTTTTCCGTATTTGCCGTCTTTAAAAGATACAGTTTACTTGTATATGAGCCTAATAATTTATGTCGTTTCGCAAACACATAACTGATTACGAAATGCGCATCTCAACATTGTTTTATTTGTAGGTACTGTTTTCATGTTTTGAAGGTTGAATTAGCTAATTTTATTCATGCAATAATATTTTGTTTATTTTCAGCGGGTTCGAGATTTTCGATTATATGTTGACAAACAATGCCGCTGCTGAATATCAAACATACAAATGAAACAGATACATCTGGAATGTCAGATAGTGATAGATTAAAATTGGAAGCCTATCTTGACCAACTTGCTTTCTGGTGGAAAGTTGTAATAGCCTTCATCGCTATACTCACAATTCTTGGAAATATTTGGGTCTTGATTTTGACCTGGAAAGAAAGAAGTCTTCATCAGCCAAATAAGTATTTTATCGCCTGTCTGGCTGTTGCTGATCTCTTGGTTGGGGTAATTTTAATACCACTGAACGTGTTTACCAGACTGAATTTCGATCCCAAGTCGGCGCGATCGACACCATCGGCTTTTTATCTTTGTCGTTTTATGGTGTGGATAGATACCATTGCGTTAGCGACATCCATTTTTACCTTAACCTTGATCAGTTTTGATCGATATCTTAAAATTAGCAAGCCACTTCTTTACAAATCTCTAATGACAACCTCCAGATCGTTGAAAATAATCTTCGTCTTAGTTTTCATTTCAATTTCCCTTGCCTCTTACTCCGTTACTCCCAATTCAGGAAGCTATGGAATTTTGGACACCGCGTTGGAAACTTGCAGTCACGAGCATGACCAAGATAAAGCCAAAACATTTTACCTTTTGTTGTCGATGAGTGCGTTCTTTATACCCGCATTAATCATGATGATCATGTATGCTCTTATATTTCTCGTTGCTCATAAACGAAACAAAATGCTTTCGAATGGCGGATTGGGTCAAACATGCAACAGTCAGATTCAAAGATCTGAATTGCGTCAAGATATTAAAGTGATCAGAATGCTGTTGGTTGTCGTTGGACTTTTCATATGTTGCTGGGGTCCCTGGTTCTCTTGGATATTGATGTGGTTTTATTCTCCGAATTTTATTGATTGGGAAAGCGATTCGCTAGACCACAGGTACCGGATTAACATATTTCATTTGATATCACGCACATTGCCATTTTTTAACAGTCTGTGCAATCCATTAATTTATGCCTGTTTCGATCGAACGTACCGGGAAGCTTCCAAGCACTTGTGTCGCCGAATGACGTGTCCACCTCACTCAAGAGAACGACAGCAGCAGCAACAGCAGAGCTACGTTCTTCCTGAACGTGCATGACGAAATTGAGTCAATTGACTGATTGTTTGAAATGTGCCCAAAAACCCCACTTGCAACACAAATAATAATACATATATATTAAACACATAGTACATCAAGAATTATGGTAATGCACTGCGAGAAATCATTTCAAGTAAATCTTGACAAAGAGGCAGAAAGATAATCCACTTTTCAGAACGCACAAGGTTACTAGACTTACCAAGCTTTTTCTTACGATGGACAGTGATGAGTGATCCTCGTAGTAATAATATGTACAGCCTCTACCAAAAAAGCTGCGTGTACCCACACGGGTATCCCCTGTGAGGAAGGTTTACTTTGATGGGGTTTGTGAGGAAGGTTCAATGTAAAGCACTCTAATAATTATTAATCACATGCATGGCGTCATTTTGAGAATAGTTTTTGAAACTTGAAATCTATCTGTTGATAAATCATTTAAAGTGACAAAATGCATGACCCAGCATGCTTTGCTCGACGCTTAAGCCTGGTTTCCATATGACGCCGACCTGTCGCCGACTCATTGTCTGTAATCATCCAAGGAGAAAATGATTTCAGAAAGACAAAAGATTTCACTCATCAGTAATCACCGACAATAATACTTTGCCGACGTCGGCGTCATATGGAAACCAGGCTTTAATATCAACAATTTTGCAGGGAAAGCTTTTATTAAACGCCTACGTGTATATATTAAAAATTATTAAACGCCGGCAACAGTGGGCGGCAGAATGCTTAATAATTAACTAAAGACGCGTATCGCTTATGCCCTGTATATCATTTCAACTCAAGGGCTAGGCCTTTCAATGAGGAAAATTAATTTTATTGGGGAAATGATTTCTCCGCCATAACTATTGCAGTTCACATATTTATACATAATATATCAGGTAAATAGAAGTTAAATTAAGGAAGCTATATAACAATATATTTCGGTTCCTGGCGTAAATTTTCATGTGGATCCCCGAAAAATATATTAAACGTAGAAAAAATATATTAAATATATTAGACGCTTGAGCCGTAGGTAGGTAATCCCTGATGCGAAAATACCTTTTATCCTCTTCCAACTCTGATTTTTCCGACTCGGCCGCTTCTTCCGAATGGAATTCTCCCGTACTCGAAATGCTATCCATTTCGTCATCTGTGCATTCAGCAGTCGATTTCGTGTCCGTATCAGTTGGAATGCCATATGGTAGCATTTCAGCATCCTCATAACCACACTCTTCTTCGTTTATAATATTACACTGCACACCTAAACAAAAAAACAAATGCGTAATTGTAGCAACCATTTGACTATTAAGACATCGTGAGTTTTCCCTACAGCGCACGCCCCACGGATCCTTTTGCTTTTTTATCCTATATAGCAATAATGCAAATATAATGCTTTCTCTTAACTTTATCCTACAAATGCATAAATAGTTCTATCTTACATATTTTCTAAAAAACTGTAAAGCGGTATATTGCTATTGAAACACCTAGCTGGCAAATTTTATAGGCTGAAATATTATATGGGTTTCCCCTGCAGTGCGTACAATACCTTTGGAACGTTTCGCTTTAGCCATTTCATCATATTTGGCTTTAAGCGCAACATATTTGTTCCACGTTTTCCTCTTCTCCTTTAACAAGTAAGCGCATCCAACACAACCACCAGTCTCTGTCGAAACACTGTTTTTCTATAAGAGTAGAAAGTCTGTTTCAGAGACGCAAGTCACACAACAATGTAAACACAATGAGGACAATGTCCTTCCGTGTTTTCTATAATAGATTCACGTTCAGTTCAGTTGTTACGCAAATTATTTACAGTACAATTTGAATGAATATGAATTGTTCGCGTACATTGCCAGGAGAAGCATCGATCAGCAGCTGTTCACTCATTTCCACATTTGCGTGATGTATAGGCTCAAGCTCGCTTGGTTCCTGTGGTTCGTTTTGCACGCACATACTTGCAGACAATGCTTCTTTTACAACCTATTGAAAATAGAAATATTCTATCTAAAAGCCAGTCTCAATAAGCATGGCCTATATTTAAACCATTAAGAAGTAAAAATCCCACAGCAATATAATCACAAATCATATAATATAAATGCAACGAAAGAGTATTTACCATTCTTTTGTCCGTCGCAGATGTAGGTTTGCATTCTGGCGGCGCGAAAAACTTTGGAATCGCAACTATCCCAATTTCATCGGTGGCTAACCTTGGTACTTTGCCGGAGATACCAGAAAACATTTCCGTAAAATCTTCCTTGGCAAAGTGAACCGAACAAATACTTGAATTGGGAGTTGGGTCCCATTTGGCTCGTTTCAAGCGCACGAAGTCTATCCATTGCCTGCGTCTCTTTTTAGCTTCTGGCCTTTCGTCGCCAGAAAACGGTATAAAATGCAGCGATATTCCTTTCCCCGCATTGGATACATTAGAGCAACCACCTACAATACATCTATTCGGCATATTTTCAATTTGCGTGCCTTTTTTGCGCTGTCGCCCTCAGTGAATAATACACGCTATAATGTTTTTCGCATGAATGACCCAAACCGGTTCCTATTGTGACATCACAACATCGATTTTGCACCAATCCCTTTTGCGCGGTTTTCATTTTTTTTACATCGCAAAATACCATGTTTAAACGGGAATAACTTCTAAACTAAAATAGCTATTGCAATTCGGTTTTCGAATATCATATATACTGCCAATGACGATCAAAATATCAAAAATTCATTTTTGTGTTAGGAGCACTTTAAGATTGTCGCTCCCCTTGCTGCAAATACGTCATAAAATTCTCTTCTTTATAATTAAGAGCTTTAGGTTATTGCATGCACCTACAAAATTATGATTTAGAACGCTTTCGTGTTTTTTTTCTAATTTACAGTCTATTATAGTATAGAGCGCTACACATTTTGACATTTAAAACGAGTGTTTCCCGGTTTTTGTTTTATGTACATTTATAGACTGTTGATCATGGGATTGCAATATTATGGAATCGCTACGATCAACGACAAAATTCGAAATTAATCGATCGCAAGCATTTAAAAGAATTAAGGCTACTAAAAACCCTACAGCTTAGTTCACATTTCGTTTCATGTAGAGAATCGATAAACTGATGTGAAATGACAAAATCGTTTTCTTAACTCATTTGAATTTGTAAAAAAAATTATGAGGGTAAAATAGAGGTATTCTTTTTAAATTTTCAATTCTTCTTAAAAGAAACAAACCCCTTAAAGAAAAAAGAAACAAATTATCAGCACCCTATATTAATCCGCAGATGCATGTGTAGCCAGACCCTACGTATACCCCCGTGTTGTTTTGGTTTTTATTGACCGTGCAAACAATTAATTTCTCATCCGATGATTGTCATATAATAATAACGCGTTAAATTTGCATAGCGGTACCTTGTGTTTGTTGTGGCAAAAACTTGGAGAGCTATTCAATTAGGTATTTTAATAAATGAAAAATACATGCACTCCGATCATAAGTGTTTTAATTTATTATGAACATCGAGAACGAATGTTTCATCGCGGGACATCCAAACATGATAAAAAAAAACAAAAATCGCTTGGATATCCCGGTGAGACACCGAGCTAGAGTTGTTCATAAGGTTTCTCAATTGAATATAGAGTCAAAAGATTTCCGGAAGGTGATTTCAATGAAATTTCTAACCATGTGTAAAACAGTTTGAAATCGGTTAGTTGAGATAAGCAGAAATAAAACCATGATACTAACAGTGAAAATTGGCAATTATAAAATTGAAAGGGTCAGGGCGTACAAGCTATTCAGTGGGGCTTGCTCTGCATGGATCCATGGCGATTTGAACCGGAAGACCAATACATGCAGAGAAAATTGTAAAAGAGCTCATAGAGCTTAAAGTTTTGACGAAATAAAAACTATTATATCGCTGTTATTAGGCAAGACAAGGAATATAGTGCGCAGTGTAAAATGTGATGATTCTTCAGCATTGTAGGGATTCTAGTCGTAATCGTCACGTTTCTACTCATAATTGCCAATGTACGTTTTTGAATTTTTTCAATTTCTTTACATAATTATATACATTGGTCCTTTGTGACGTTACTCCCCCACCACACTTCACAATACAGAAGAATCACCACACTGCTCAAGATCGATCACCACACTTCACACTACAGAAGAATCATTACATTCACACTGCATTCTCAAGAGTCACCACACTTCACACTGGAGAGGAATCACCACATCTTCGCATGCAAAGATAGAGAGGTTGGAGAATTGGAGAGAGGCATGGTACTATGCATGTGTATCGAATTAATCAAGGATATGACGAATGTGGACTATAAGTTGCATATTACGTTATATTACTACGAAAAATTAAAAGAGGTAGATGGTAGAAAACTGGACAGTGGACAGAACAACAACAACTAATCAATCGTAATGAACAATGTGTATGTGTATAAGATATTCTCTCCCGAAAACTACATAGCTACATATATCAATCCCGATCATTATTTATTCTGGAGGCCGGGCGGTTATATATACCATTCGTTCTAGTTCGCATGATTAATCAACTTGCTCTTTAATTTTATAATTACTCTTTTGAAATTTATTGGGAGGAGGCGTTTCGTCAACGGATTGCTTTTATTCGACGTTATTAAACTTGTAAATCTCATGCATATCACGTCACATCTTTACTTCGAAACTTATTTATTGTATCTACATATAATTAAACTTGATAATTAAATATATACTTTTTCGAAAACTTTTTCATTAAATATATAACAGCAATATATGAAACCGATCAAAAAGCATTAATAAAAAAATATATTAAAACTGATTATTAATGTTAAACATGCACCGCGCTAACAGTTTGGTTATTAAAGACGCGCATATTATTGTGAGCTATACACATAGCTGCATGAGACGGTGTTTTTAAGGCGTAACGGTTGTCAAGATGAGAGAATAAATTCCTAGCGTAACCTGGTTTGCCCATTTTATCAGGTAAATGGACGTAAAGTCGAGCTAGGCATATACCCTGGCTGGACATAATTATACATATGTATCTAACATGCATTTATATTCAGTTTCTGTTTTATAATATACCGTACCCTTTTGAACCTTGCGAAAGAAGTTACAGCAAGTAAACACAAAATTACAAAATCTCTAAGCCAGTCTTATTCTGGTGGATAATCAGATAATTGTCAAACATTAATAAAATTAGCCGGCTTGGCCGCGTTGGCCTTTTAAAATGGTTTCACTTTGGCACAAATGGTTATCAAACACGGTTTTTCTTAGTCTTATATTGATATAGCTGACGCTAGTATATAGCTGAGTTTGAAGCCTGTACATGGCAGTGTACACGATAAAAAAGCTATTGCCCGCATACTATAAGAAAATAATTATACGCTTGTAATAATTATACGTAAATTACTGAAAGGAGAGACTTAATTGCATGGATATAGCTTTGATTCATTTACTATATATATATATATATATATATTATATATATATATATATATATATATATATTATATATATATATATATATATATATATATATATATGTGTGTATATTATATATATATATTATTATATAATATTATATATATATATATGTATATATATATGTATATATATATATATATATATATATATATATATATATATATATATACATATATATATATAGTAAATTACTGAAAGGAGAGACTTAATTGCATGGATATAGCTTTGATTCACTAAAATTTGATCTAACTATAACTACTGTCATGCAGTTGTAATAAAATGGCAACATGTCGAACAAAAGTAAAATTCAAAGATATTTGAAGAAATATGGAAATTATTTACGGCAATCTGCATGTAAAAAAAAACATTGCAAGCTATATAGCTTGTATAATCTGAAATTTAAGACTGTTTAAGAAGTTCAAAATATCATTGTTATAAACTTTTTGGGCTTTTTAATTGAAGAACCTTGAGAGTTTACATTAAAATCCATATGCAAATTTCTACAACTGCTTGTAGCGAGTATATTTTAAACAAAGTTACATAGTCATAGGCGTTTTATCGCATGTGGGTTTGGGCTATACATATAGAGTAAAAAGTAAAAGCACATGCACAATTTTACCACATTGTCATTTGGAAGATTGTTTATTCCTGCGTGTGTAATAACATGTAAAGGATTTGTAACGGGGGGATTGATTTCACCTCAGTAGCGATCTGTTCAGCTCACTTTCCTGGTAACATGCAGGCTTTAACTATTTTCTTTCCAAAAGACGGATCGTTGCATCGTTAGATAAACTCTGGGTTTTGCCCTCTGCTAACTTCCGCACTCACGTTGATATTTTGTTTTTCTAATTCGTCAGGTACATTACTCTCTATATCTTCACAGTTTTGCCTGTTTCACTGGTCTTATTTGCACGGCTTCTGAACTTTGCTTTACACCGTCATTAATATAAAAATCATTAAGTACTCTATTCGCTTTTGCATGTCTTGTGCCCAATTAGTACGCTTATGGATGAAATATAGTTGCAGGGGCTATTTTTATTTGGCGTCTCAGCTGGAGAAATCAAAGATTCGTTGATAACAATAGGATGTATATTGCTTTGATGTTTATTGCTGTTTTTTTCTTCTTGAACAATTTGTACAACAGTTATATAAAAGGCTGTTCGTACGTTTCCAATAGTCTTAATTTTGGCTTGTAGTTCTGAAATCAGATCTGATTGGTCGGCCTATATTTGATCTTCTAGGCATGAATTTTCAACCTTAAGGTAATATTTTCACTCACAATTCGGGATGCTGTAATTTCGAAAGACAATTCGCTGTGGTTGCCTTCAGTTCACGCAGTTTGTTATTGAAGAAAGCAAAAAAGATCTTTCCATCTTGTTTTCTAAGTGCTCCAGATGCTCCAAAATTACTGTCGAAAATTACTCTAAAATTACTATGATGTAACCGGTGTCATGCGGCAACCAAGTCAAAATTATGAACTCGTGTCTATTGAGCCAGTTGTCAATTATCGCGAGTGCCTTGCATTTGCAATGGTATCCGTCGTCAGCCCAATATTTCGTACCCATAACAATTCATTACTTGTATAAAAAGCAACAAGAGGATAATTAGTAGTTAGTTTGAAATAACTACAAATCTTGTATAAAAAGAAACAAACGGAGAATTATTTTGAAATAACTACAAATATTATTTCTATTTTCAGCGCGGTCCAAGTTTATAACAACGTAGACAAGAAATGTCACATTCACAAATCAATCATACAAATGAGACATCGGGAATGACAGATGGTGATAGGTTAAAGTTGGAAGAATTCCTGAAACAACTTGTTTTCTGGTGGAAAATTACACTAACCTTCATCGCCATACTCATAGTTCTGGGAAATATTTGGGTTTTGATTGTGACCTGGAAAGAAAGAACACTTCATCAGCCAAACAAGTATTTCATTGCTTGTTTAGCTGTTGCTGATCTTTTGGTTGGAATATTTTTAATACCTCCAAGCGTGTTGATTAAAAAGAATAGTGATCACACGTCGCCGCAATCAACTCGAATTTCTGTTCACCTGTGTCGTTTTATAGTGTGGATAGACGCCGTTGCGTTAGCGACATCCATCTATACCTTGACCTTCATCAGTCTCGATCGATATCTTAAAATCAGCAAGCCACTTCAGTACAAATCACGAATGACAACTTCCAGATCGCTAAAAGTGATTCTCGTTATCGTTCTCGTTGCAATTTCTCTTGCAACTTACTCAGCTACCCCCAATTCTGGAAGCTACGGAGTTGTGGACACCGTGTACGGCACTTGCAATTTTAAGCACGACCCAAATAAAGTCAAAACATATTACGTGTTTTTAGCATTTAGTGCGTTTTTCATACCAGCGCTAATCATACTGACCTTGTACGCTCTTATCTTTCGTGTTGCTCACAAACGAAACAAAATGCTTTCGAATGGCGGACTGGGTCAAACGTTTAGCGATCAGAACCAACGAAGTGCTTTACGTCAAGATATGAAAGTGATCAGAATGCTGTTGGTTGTGGTTGGAGTTTTTATTTGCTGCTGGGGTCCATGGTTCTCTTGGATTTTGGTGTGGTTTTACTCTCGAAATATTATTGAATGGGAAAACGACTCGTACAAGAACGTGCACCGGATGAACATAATTCACTTGACTTTGCGCACACTGCCACTTTTTAACAGTTTGTGTAATCCATTCATTTATGCCTGTCTCGACCAAACATACAGAGAAGCGTCCAAACATTTGTTTCGCCGAATGACGTGTCAACCAGACACAAGAGGACGACAATCAACAATAGACTTGCACACCTCGCGAATTTGATCGAGAAACTAAACTCAGATTAATTGAAATAGGTATAAAAATAAACCGGATGATCTTATAGTTTGTGTATAAAAATCTTCCGTGCATGACAACTAGCTGCTAAGGGGTTAAAGGGTCTTCATTTCAAGCAGAAATCTGCATCTCCAATATACACAGCAAAAAATCATTTTCTTATTTCAAGAAAAAAAAAACTCATTTTAAGAAAATTTTCTTAAAATGAGTTCAAATTTTCTTGGGAGAATAATAAGAAAATTTTCTTACTTTTTTTCTTAAGAATTTTTTTCTTAAGAAAATTTTCTCAAAATAAGGAAAGTTTCACACAAATAATTTCTCAGTTTAAGAAAATTTTCTTGAAATGAGTCCAAAATTTCTTATAGAATGTTCATAATGAGAAAAATTTTCTTAAGAAATTTTTCTTAATATAAGAAATATTTCCAAGAAAATATTTTCTTATAATAAGAAAAGTTAATTCTCAAGAAACCCTAGAAACTCTGACATGATATTTTGTTATAAGTAAGAATGTAATGTAAATTTACTAAAATATTCATGAGTCATAATATAGAATACACAGCAGACATTATAATACATGAGAATTATAGGCCCTACATGATTATTTAGAAATACAGAGAAATGACTATATATAATATTGCACCACGGCTTTGAAGGTTTTGTATTTGTCCAGTGTTTATTTGACATGTTTTTAAATATCAATTATTGCAGTACAGATCAATTATTGCAAAAGGATTTTTGTGGTGCTTAAAATCAGATGAGACATCATCAGATAAATTTGAGAGTAAATAATTTAAAAATTGGTGTGAAGTAAATCCTAAGTTCACACTTAACTTAAAATAAAACTTTGCAATCATGTTAGGAATTGAGTACATCAAACAAAAAATACTGGTAAATGATAATTTAGCTACTCTGGGGAATTTTAAGCTATTCTTTAGCTATCGCTTGCGAATACCGGCATCTTTAAGAAAACTACTTTTAGACCATTATCAAATACACCCATCCTTCAAGTCTTCAACCCATTCTACACTGCTTTTCTACCTCCCAATGATAGTTTAAATTCCAATCAATTCACCATGAAACTGCATGTAATTAATTCAAACAATATATAGATAGAGGGCCTTATCCAATGAAATCAAAAAATGTTAAATGCAAAATTGTCCCTAAAAATATGTATGGATAAATGTATCTGAAGGCAAAATAGAGAGCTTTGTGATAATTTTAATGATATAGGCAGACTTTGATGCACAATTTATCCCTCCTTTGGAACAGTCGCAACCCTA